TATTATTTGCTCCCTTCTGCTTTGTCCTAGATAAGATGAACAGGAGCCATAGTTACATGCTAAGTGCAAGTTTAGTGCTAAATGTCCAGCATAGTACAGTGGTACCTTGGTTCTCGAACTTAATCCGTTCCAGGAGTCCATTCGACTCCCGAAACCATTCGAAAACCAAGGCGCGGCTTCCGATTGGCTCCAGAAACTTCCTGCACTCAAGCGGAAGCCTCACTTACTTCCGGGTTTGCGAAGTTCGGGAGCTGATTTGTTCGGCAACTAAGCCGTTCAGGAACCAAGGTTCCGCTGTACATGTATCTGGATTGGTTAACTTTGAGTTACAGCACAGCCGCACTCCTGAGGGTGTGGAAATTTCTGTCTGTCAGACCACTTGAACTCCAGATTTGAATCTCTGTAATTTTTCTCTCTAGTGAAATAATGAAGCTTGTCAAAATAATGTGATGTCTCTCTGTGTGTGTCTCTCCAAATCTAAATTTGCAAAGGCGCATCAGAATCGTGCTGTGTCCCCCCCCCCCCCCCGACTGATGAATAAAAACTTTTGTCCAGTGTGAAATATTTTGGTTACTTTGTGGACTAAGCCAGTGTGATCTGTGCTTCACTGGGGCCACAGACTGACACTTCCTCTCCTGTGCTCTGCAGCCCTCCTTCAAAATCTGCTCTGGTAGGGTTGGGGGACCCTCCAGGGTATATTTTGGGGGGACACATGGGGAAGAAATAGAATTGCCAATTGTGACAGCAGAACTAAGCACGCAGAGAAATGGGTACAATCCTAGGTATCTGTTGTATCCTGTTCAATTTCCTATGTTTTTGCTAGGCAGCAAAATAATTTAAAATGGTAAAATGAGTAAAACATTGTAAAACAGTGAAATCTCAGCAGGCATTACTCTATTCTCATGTAATTCCATTTAAAAAATGTACAAATGTAGGAGCTTTTCCTTGTTTTCCAGAGCTGTGTGGCTGCTGTACTATGAGAAGTAGAAAGCAGAGTTATTTTGATACTTGGCTGATATGGCTGAAGGGGGAATCTTAGGGATAAGTCCACCAGATAAAGCCTTGGAAAACATATATTTTGGGAAATATTGAAATATCTTTCCTATTAGAGCTAAACTCAGTTTAGTTTGAGAATATAAAATGTAGTAAAGTAATACTGTATCGTACATACGTATATGGAATTAAAAAGTGTAAGTGCCTCACTTTTATTCAAACAACAATTACAAATGTACTCATTAATTATCTTTCATTTCCAATACCAGAAAAGGAAGTTTATTGCAGTGGGCAAAAATCCATCCATCTGTAAATTGTCCTGTAAATGCTGAAAGTCAGGGTATAAATGTTATAGGCAGTGTGCCCTCTATACAATTGCCACCTTCAAAATGCAACACAAGAACCTGCAACATTTGTTTAGCCGAGGTGGCAATGGGATGCATGGCGCTTTCCGCTCTTGCGTGGTGGAAGGAGCCTGAGGTCTGCATCCAGCCTGAGAGATCAGTGCATCAAGGAGTGTCTGGAATCTGGATATTGTTGAGCTCAACATTGGCGTGGATTCAAAAGGTGCTTGTGTGGGTAGAATATGTTTCCTTTTGTGCCAGAGATATCTCCTTGGGTGTTCATCTGCAGCCTCCAGGCCACGTCCCACACCTTTCCTGGTGATCCTCCTAATCCTTGGGAGAGGCTTTTGCCAAGGACACAGGTGACTGCAGTGAGGAAGAGGGGATGGCAAAGCCTTATTATTAAAGTTTTGAACTCTGCACAATGCTCTTTTGGACTCTTATCACATTAGATAATATGTCCATGAAAATACTACCATCTCAGGCTTTATCCTAATTGGTTTCTGAACCATCAGCTGTCTCTGTTTTTGTCCTTCCGGTTACCCCACCCTGCATGGCCTTAGGACCAGCGATGGAGAACCTCATGCCTGCAGGCCAGACTTGGCCCAGCAGGTCTCCCCATTTGGCTCACCAAGTCATCTCCAGGAAGCCACACCTGCCTGCCCTACACTTGACACTAGACCTGACGTCAAATGTGGGCAGGTAAGGGCAGGGCTTCAAAGGAAAATCAAGAGCTTAAAGTGAGCTCCTGGCTGTTTCTTTTCTGGAGCAAGGCATGATCCCACCCAGCCACCTCTCAGCTCACTGGTGGTAGGAGCATGCCTTGCTCAAGGAAAGGGACATAGTTTCCCTTTAACCATGGAAGCCTCTTTTCCCTCCCAGTGCTACGTTTTGCAGACTTGGCTGTTGGGTCTTCAAAGCGCAGCACAGGGCTTTCCAACAACCTCCATGGTTCTCCTTCAAACCTGCACTTTGAAATCCCGACAACTGAGGCTTCTAAGTTCAGTATCTCCTGGTGTCACTATGATATCAGGTGGTTGTCAAACTTGGTCCACAAGAGGTTGAGGAGATTAAGATTTGGCCTACGGGCCAAAAGGATTTCTCTTCCTCTGACTTAGGAGAACAAAAAGTATGTACAGATTGAAACAACTTTTTCTGAGCTTGGGGTGTGTATGTGTGTTGCTGTATGTATTTCCAAACATGGTGGTCAGTTTATTTCACATGCTGTAGAAGGCCAAGGAATCTAATGCAGACAAAGAGTTTAAGTGTATATAGAATTGTAATTGCCTAGTATTGTAGATTGCATTCAAATAACTAAGGATTTTGGGTTAGTGGGGGCAACTAAAATAAATAAATAAGAAAGAAAGACAGGCAGACAGACTGCAGATATATATATATATATAGAGAGAGAGAGAGAGAGAGAGATTTACCTGGGAGGAATTCCTGTTGAACTTAATGATGCTTACCTTGCTATCTTATATCACTTGCTAAAGCTGTGTTAGAGGCTGATGACCTAGTCCCTGAGTTCTTACTCAAAAGGAGCTCACACCTGCCACTAAGAGTCTCAGACACAAACCAGTGGCAAATGTGGCCAGACAGCTGTTTCCGCCTACACCTGGCCAGCTATTTTTTTTATTTTTGCACATCAAATGTTGGACAACAGCTATCTCAAATTTCAGAGATAATGCATGCTGTAATACGTTGTGTCCTTGGAAGGTGAGGTTGAGTAGGGCTTAGAGGCAAATGGTGCTCCGTGTTCCTGACCATCCGATCATCACATTCCCGTTGAGAAAGTATTGCAAAATAGGCCGTTACCTACAGCTGATGAGCTCCAAGAAGAGCGAAACCTGTTAAAATAGGTCCTGTAGTATTGGCCAAGAGAGCATCTCCTTGGTGTGGCACCCTTGCCCCAGTAAACATGCTCTGGTTATCTCCCGCTTGGACTACTGCAATGCGCTCTATGTGGGGCTACCTTTGAAGGTGACCCGGAAAGTGCAATTAATCCAGAATGCGGCAGCTAGACTGGTGACCGCTGAGACCACATAACACCAGTCTTGAAAGACCTACATTGGCTCCCAGTACATTTCCGAGCACAATTCAAAGTGTTGGTGTTGACCTTTAAAGCCCTAAACAGCCTCGGCCCAGTATACCTGAAGGAGCATCTCCACCTCCATCATTCTGCCCGGACACTGAGGTCCAGCGCCGAGGGCCTTCTGGCAGTTCCCTCTCTGCAAGAAGCCAAGTTACAGGGAACCAGGCAGAGGGCCTTCTCAGTAGTGGCACCCGCCCTGTGGAACGCCCTCCCACCAGATGTCAAAGAGAAAAATAACTACCAAACCTTTAGAAGACATCTAAAGGCAGCGCTGTTTAGGGAAGCTTTTAATGTTTAATAGGTTATTGTATTTTAGTGTTTTGTTGGAATCAGTGTTTCGGTATAAATAAATTATTATTATTATTATTATTATTATTATTATTATTATTATTATTATTTTATTATTAAACTATGATGCCTCCCTGGGATCACCAGTAAGGCTACCCAGGCATGTGACTTTTAAACTTTTAAAATTATTTTAGCTAATCCTGCCTTCCGAGGCAGAAGTCATAGGGCACGCTTCCATCAGCCCCTTCCGTTGCCACTACTTCTACCTTTCCCCATCTGATTTCTTACATCAGAAAAATAACGAGGAAAGAATTTGCATTATCTCTTTAAATTTAGCATTCCAAAAACTCTTGGCACATGTGGGAATGCATTTAGGCTACTGCTACTACTGTTTAGAATACCAGGACCTCTGTGAAAGGCAACTGGACAGAAAGGGCAAGGCTAGTTCTTCTTTGCCATATCTAAGGAGCATCGCACGACTCCACTGATCCTGCTAATAGTCGTCTTTCAGAGAACTGACTGAGCAGCGAAATCAGTGGGAGGGGCAAGCAGGCCGTATGTTCATAGCCAAACAGGTTTTTTTGTTTGTTTTGTTTTGCAAAAACATTTCTTCCATGAAAATAGGAATTCCACTCCTGGGCTTCATGTGATAAAGTTGTCCCGAAGGGAAAGGAAAGGTTTTGCTCCTCCAGGGCAGTGGGAGAGGAGCTGCACACCTGCTCCCATTGAAACCTCCCGCACTTTCAATGTAGACCTTGCAAACAAATGCAAAAATGCTGTCGTCCCAGTAGCTTCTCTGGTGGCTGACGTGGAGGACTAACATAGCACAAGCAAGGGAAGCATCAGTATTACTCAGACACAATGCTGGAGAAGGAGCCACAATGGAGAGCTGCCTGTTTCTGTGTCGGTGCTGTTTGCAAAACAGAGGTGGCAGAAGTTTTTAGTGTCATTTTTATTTCCTAAAGCAAAAGCAACCATCTCACTCCTGTCAGCCTGTTTTGCAAAATAAAGTTGCCCTCTTCTTTCCCACCTGTACCTGGGTCTGTATTTAAAACAAAATCGCAGGAGGAGGTTTCTTTATCTTGCTAGCATTTTCCCCCCAGCTCTGCATACATCCCAGCTCTCAGACTACCAAAGTAATTGGCATGGTTCACTTTGCCTAGTGGTTTCTGTTCTCTGTTTCCTGTGTGACTTTCTAGATCAGATTAATACGGACGAACCCCCTGCAGGCTGGCTTAGCAAGAGAAGCCAATGGGGCTGAACCTCTCACTTTGTGTCTTTAGGATGATTGAGGAGAGCGGGAAGAGGAGGAGAACGATGGCGGAGAAGAGGCAGCTGTTTATGGAAATGAGTAAGTGGAACTCTGCTGTAGCTGACAACTTCACAAAATAATGTTGTGCAGTCTTTTGAAAGCATGTTAAAATGAACCATGGAAAGAGAAGAGAAGTCGCTGGATATTTTAAAGTTTGTAAAATGTTTATTTGAAATTGTAAAACAAATATTTAATAACATGGTTTTTTTTGTTTTAATAATAATAATTTTTAACTAAATTGGTTCCACTTGAGAGTTTTGGGGTGTCACATTTCAAAGACCAGGGGTGTTTGTGAAGCTTATACGTTTACACGTTTCAGTCTTCAAATATCATCTAGTGGTTACCTCATCTCACATCCCATGACACCCTAATGAAGCATCGGTTGAATTCTGGGGACGAGGGTCTACGTTAGCTCTCAGCTTTTGGGGATCCAGCTCCCTGTTCCATGCTTGATCCTCAGTTTCCGTCCCTGACCATTTTCCTTGAGATATTTGGGGAAATGCCATCTAGGGAGAGACTGCTGGCATTGCCAAGGGTAGCTGCAAAAATGAGAAAAGAGAGAGAGAGACAAGGCTCTGAGGCTGTTTGCCAACATGTCGTGGGGCCTTAAAGGACAGGATTCCTTTATTGCTCAAATACTGATAGATTATTTTTAAAGCATTACTAGGAGAACAAAAATATTGTTTAATCAACATCCTAAAGGCAATCACAGAAACAGGTTAGTTAAACGTTCCTGTGAAAACGTTTGTTTTTAAGTGTATGAATTGTTATAATGTTTAGCAGGTAAGAACTCCAGAATGCACACCTGGGCAAGACCTTTTTGAGGTCCAACAAAAACGCCACAAATGGTCATCCACTGATTGGAGGAGTATTGGGGCTGCGGGTGGGTGATTGGCATAGGGCATGACGTAGTATTATATGTGCTTTATTGATGTTTTCACTGTTGTGCTATTTTAAGTTATTTCATAGGAAATGATTCAGAAAGGAAGTGAAGGAAATTAATAGTTCTGACACAGAATTACCAGCTGTCTTGAAAACTAGGCCAAAAGTGCAGTTGGGAAATGGATTCTGTGCCGGGATGTGATCCAAGGCCTCTTCCCACTATAAGACAAGAACTCTCTTGCTTCTAATTCACAGGGGCTCAGAACTTCGACGTCATCAGATTGTCAACGTATCGGACTGCCTGCAAACTGAGATTTGTGCAAAAAAGATGTAATCGTAAGTGAAAAGTTCCACCCTCTGTAGAAACATCTTAGATAAGCGCACATGTCAAGATTTATCTTCGCACAAACTCCTCTGTATTGCACCGACTCAGCTCACAATAAGAACAAATCAACCCAAACCTTGCATTGTTTGGGGAAAGATAGACAAAATTAAAAGTGGTAATGCCAAGCTGGGAAAAGCTTTCTGTGCCTCCACCTCCTTTGCACAATGTCCTTGTTGTCATGTGCTGATGTGCTCCTGTTGATTCACATGAGGCACACAAAGACTAGCTTTTATTTGGAAGATCCCATGATGCGCTTTCTTCTGGCCAGGGACACTTTGGTGCTTTGAAGTACACGCTTGAAGATCACACACAGAAAACTTGAATCACCGAGTGAAGGGCAGTATTCTGACAGGAGGAAAGTGTTGTAACTGTGCATAAACCACAGGGCAATGTGCAAGAGAGGGGTGTGTTGAAGAGGCATGGAGAAGGCCGTGTGACTTAGAAATGATGTTGAGAGGAGGAAACAGCCTGCTGGGAGGAAGCTCTCTCTCTGGGTGTGTAATTGGACTCTCTGGCACTGAGCACGTTCTTGTTAGTTTGGAAATGTCACAGGAAGAGTCTGTTGGGCAGGGTCACATGGCACAGAGAAGAATGAGGAGGCCACTTCCAGACAGCCAGTATTTTGTGGGAGAGATGGAGTGGCATCCTGGGAAATTCAGGTTACACAATTCAAGTGGGCTTGGGCTGCCTGAGCAACAAACCCCTGCTCCTCCCAGAAAGTGCAGAATAACAATCGCTCGACACAAATCAGAACGACTCGCTCAATAGACAGAGGATGCCGTGCAACCAAATCAGGATGAGTGCTCAATCAACATGTCATCTGGAAGTCACCTAAGCGATAAAAAAGAAGCAGGGAATCATGTCCTAGAGAATGCAAGGGCCATGGCAAGATCATCATGTGGCACAGCCGTATTTGGGGTAGAAAGTAAAGGGTTGGGGCCCTGATCCAGTGGAGCTGAAAGACCCTACCCTGCCCTCTTCCATGTGGATCATTAGAGAGTGTCACACCTAAGAGAGAAGTGGTGTGGTTTTTTCCTGCCATCCACACCCCACCCTTGGGTGGTCGGCCCATCCTCCATCTCTCCCCCCCCCACTCCATGCAAGGGGGCAGTCGCTTGCTTGCTTGCTTGCAAGCAGAGTTCAGTGGACTAACAGCCCCCCGCCCTTTCCACCCTCCCCTGTTAGAATAAGGAAAGCCTGGCTGTTCTCAGGGGGCTCCTCTTTGTGTTTCGCCACCAGGGGCTGTTGTATCTGTGGAAACAGCACTATGGGGACATCTGGTAATGGGAAAACAAACAATTGTGGCTTAGCTTTAGGTTTACCAAGCAAGGGAACTGCGTTTGGGGGAGGCAGGCAGGCAGCAACGCCCAGTTATTGAATCCAGACATGATGCTGTATTTGCAGCGTCTGGCCTTGTTTAGTGTGACCAAGAGGGGAGGGGTGCCACTCACCTGATCGTATTTCTGTCCTGTTTTCTAGCCCAAATGCAGCCCCCAAAGTTGATGCAATGCATCCTCAGTCTGCCAAAATATACTTCTGCACGTGGACACACTCATGCTGCCTCAGTGCTGGGGCCAAGGAGGCTGGTTGTTGGAGGCTGGTTGGGGGTGGGGAGGGGGTGCAGTTTCTCCCCACACCACTTTTTCCTCAGCCAGGCTTTCCCCTCTTCCTTGTGTACTGATAAGGCAAGCGCAAGTCTACACCCAACCCTGGACAGCCAGCCACAAAGATTGGCCATGTAAACTGGATTTCAGTCTTGCAACGCCAAGTTAAGACTGTGAAGAGAAATGCCCAGATAATCATGGAGCCTCAGCTGTAATTTGACAGCTCTGGCGGAACCCCTAGAGAAAGCTGGCAGAGAGCAGCTTGACTCTGTTGGCTGAAGAGTTAGCAGAATGCACAAAGACTCATAAGAGTTAAAGGGACCCAAGGGGTCATCTAGTCCAACCCCCTGCAATGCACAAACTGCAACTAAGGAATCCCCAACAGATAGGATAGCCGTCCAGCCAGCCACCCCCATGAGCTGTGCCTGTAGAAGGAAATACCTGGAAACGTCACTGTGTTTTACGGTAGGGATGCTTCATAAAAACGCAACTGAACTTGCATTAGTTAGGAGTAAAACTTGTCTTTCCCCTTTCCCTTCCAGTTCACCTTGTGGATATCTGGAATATGATTGAAGCCTTCCGAGATAATGGCCTTAACACATTGGATCACAACACGGAGATCAATGTGTCTCGATTAGAAACCATCATTTCCTCCATCTACTACCAGCTGAACAAACGCCTTCCTTCTACTCACCAGATCAGCGTGGAGCAATCCATCAGCCTTCTCCTCAACTTCATGATAGCAGCATATGACAGGTCAGGGGCTTCGCTCTCCATCAGGCTGCGTTGCTTCCCGGCAGCCACTGCGTGGGTTGGGGCAGAGCCTGAGGCCTTGGGCACCCCTGGCCTAGAGCAGGCGTTGGCCCTCGACAGAGAATCACACCCGTGTTTCATCCGCAGAGCCCTTGTTTGAGCAAGGTGGTTTATCCCCCTGTGGTGTCTCGGTGTTCCTTCAGGCTGCAGATCGAGACAGATTTGTGAGCTCATGTGCTGTAGTCATCTGCTCTGTCAGCAATTAAAAACGGAGCGAATGTTCCTGCTGCAAAGTGAGCATGAGCCTAGGACGTGACCCTGCAGCTGAAAAAGGCCAGTGCCATTTTCACACTCAAGTCACTCTGCAGCACACACACACACACACACACACACACACACTTCAAACCCTGTTGCTCAGTTTTGGATTCTGCACGCCAAGAAATCTGACCAGTTGAAAGGTTATAGAGGGTGATGGGGGGTTTTTCACCTGAATGTGTGGATTCAAAAACTACATTTTTAAAATGGCACAGTCCAATTCCATGAGGCTAAAAGGAGCCTTCCTCGCAACCTCTCTCCAAAGGTGCCTTTACACAAGCTGCTGGGGGCGTGGAAATTGCTGCAGCGGTTGTTGCAAAAGGCTGGCTCAGGCTAACGTTTCCCCATGGAGTTGCACACCCAAGTTACACGTTCTGTGCTACTGCAGGGTAGAGCATGTTGTACCCAGTTGTGGGTACCAGCCCTACCCCTTCCTAGTCCCTTTGGCCTCTTTCCTTGGGGCTGAACATGAAGGTGAAGCAGCAGTTTCACTTGTGAATCTCCAGTAATCAACCTCATCCCCAATTTTAGGCCATTGTGGAGCAATTTGTAAGCCTCTAATCCCAGCCAAGAGCAGGAGAGCCAAAAACTCCTCAAGATAGGCTTTGCTTCATTTCACCTGGTTGGCAGCTGTTGACGTTTTTCTGCTGTGCGTGTTGGAACAGTGTGCGCTCTTGGGCAAGAGAGATGGAAAACTTGGTTTTACTGGCAGGGAAGACTCTGCTGGTGTTTTGGCCAGGAGCTCTCTGTCTTTCTGCAGCTGCCCTCTCAGGTGGAAACTGCTCCTCTTCCTCCTTGGTGGTTGCAGTTGGGAGGCAGAAGACTTTGTAGACTAGAGGAGGACGAGTTGTGTCATGATGGAAGTACAACAACGTATCATGGGATCTGTTTACTTAATATTTTGAGACTTGGGGGCTGATAGCATCCTTGGGAGTCCTTTTTCCTTTATAGCCTTCCTATGTGTACAAAGTAGCCCAGTCAGTACAGAAGAGGCTTCTCTTACCAGAAGACCTCTTGTTTTGCTCAGGTGGCAAGCATGCTGTCATCCTCTTAGGATAATTGCGTGTCAATCGGCTGAGGACGTTTGTGCATCTTCATTCTGCTAGGAGTGTTTAAAAAGCATGTCCCTTTCCTTTATGGCAATAGAATCACGTTTGACAGCATGGATGCAGGCAAAAACATCTCAGCACATCTCATTATTCTGATAACCTCTGTTGGGCACAGCTAACGGAAGCCCCCTCTCTCTCTCTCTCTCTCTCTCTCTCTCTCTCTCCCCCCCCCCCCACACACACACATTGCATAAGATGTTCCACCCCATGACCAGCCAGGAAAATGTGGGGCAATTTTCCTTCTTGGACACTTCCTGAATGTTGCTTTTGTGTTGTCCTGCTGAATAATTTGTGTCTGCGCATGAATGGATCATAGACTTGCTCCTGTCACAACGTGCAACGTCTGGGTTGCAAGCTGCCCTGAGCATGGTTTTAGCTTTGGAAAGGCAGCATAAAAATAAAATGATTGATTGATTGATTGATTGATTGAACTGCAGTTTGTTTTTTTACAGTGAGGGCCACGGAAAGTTGACGGTGTTTTCCATAAAAGCCATGTTGGCAACCATGTGCGGTGGGAAGATTCTGGACAAGTTGAGATGTGAGTATTTTAAGGAGATAATTCGGGATAGGTGGAAGGATACTGCATTATCCTGTCCTTAAAAGTAAAAAAATGCCCCCCCATCAGCTGTAGAAGCTATCCTTTGTTTTGTGTTCTTCTGCTTACCTGTTCAGTAACAAGAGTGCAGGAAGAGTCTGCTGAATCAAGTTGCTGGATCAGACCCTTGTCCACAAGTATCACTGGAGTTAGGTGAGAACGAGAAAAACTTTTCTCTGAAGACTTGAGGCTCAGCTGAGAGTAGCAATGTGGGGCAGGGGAGAGTGCCTGCCATTTCTCTCCTTGGTCTTGCCTGCTGGATCTGCCTTCAGGAAGGCCTGGTGCTGACTGGGAACACTTTTGGGGGTTTTCCTGGTGAATGGGAATCAGCTGTTCTCCCGCTCTGGGCAGGCCTCTCTTCTGCTGCCTTGGCCGCCGCAACCCTTCACTTTTCCCAGTTCCAGCCCACCAGAGTTTCTCTCGTCGCCGTCTTCCATTTGACACCCTCCTAAGCCTCTTTTGCCCAGGGACTTGGCTCTGCTTTCTCCTGCCAATCCCTGAGTGTCCTTTTGCAAATAACTGACTCTGCCCGCTCAGTTTGCGGCACACCTGCTGGAGAGCAGTACTTGACTTGGTTCCTAACACCTTTCTGTCCTTGGGTGTGTATAAATAACGTCTTCCTGGCTGTGGACTAGGAGTTCCAGTAGGCACTGCAGGTATCATTTTTTATCCTGGGCTTTCTGTTCCCCCCACCCCACTTTAAAATAAAATTAAAATGCAATGCAATAGGTAAAGGGGCCCCTGACCATTAGGTCCAGTTGTGGCCAACTCTGGGGTTGCGGCGCTCATCTCGCTTTATTGGCCGAGGGAGCCGGCGTACAGTCCAGGTCATGTGGCCAGCATGACTAAGCCACTTCTGGTGAACCAGAGCAGCACATGGAAACGCCGTTTACCTTCCCGCCGGAGCGGTACCTACGGTATTTATCTACTTGCACTTTGACGTGCTTTTGAACTGCTAGGTTGGCAGGAGCAGGGACCTTCGCGGGGATTCGAACCGCTGATCTTCTATCGGCAAGCCCTAGGCTCTGTGGTTTAACCCACAGCGCCAGCCGTGTCCAGCAATACTGTGGTGCTAATTTTCTCCCCAAGAATAAAATTCCCAGACAGGGTCAGCCTGAAACGTTTTGATGCCTGGGATTCAAAATCAGGCTGATCTTCCCTCTCCTCTTTTCCTAGCATTGAAAATAATTTCACGTTAGATAACTGCTGACTCAGCTGCCCTTCAGCAGCACTCAAGATCTGCTTCCTCACGCTGCCTGACAGTCAGTCTGGGTGCCTCTCCTTGAACCCCTCTTTGGGCTTTTCTGGCACCCTGTGAGCTCACGCTGCCCCTCCAGACTGGAGCTTCTGTTTCGGTGCTTCTTGAGATCAGAGGCGGCCAGGGAACAAGGCTGACAGGATCAGGCGGTGGCCATGGGCTGTCCATCTGAAGTATTGGTCAAAAGGAGCCTTGTTTTCTGCTCTGGCTGGGTGTGCTCTTGATGTTCTATTTCCACTATGTCATCCACAATTTGTCTGCTTAACTAGCAGACATCCTGGCTTCTCTTTGCCCTGATCAACTTTCCTTGCTCTCTTAAAGTCCTTCTGATTGGTAGAACCTACAGGTTCCTGGCCTGCTGCTTATTAATTTCATGAAATGTATACAACATTTGAGTCTCAAAAACCTCAAAGGGGTTTACAAAATTACAAAGCCATAAAATAAGGGAAAAATTACAATACAGTGGTACCTCGGGTTACGAACAGCCTAGTTAACTAACTTTTTGGATTATGAATACTGTTTTATTTATTTTATAGTACAGTACATTGATTATTGCTTTCATTTTATGGATCAATGGTCTTGTTGGATAGTAAAATTCATAACAAAAAAATTCCTTCCAGTAGCACCTTAAAGACCAACTAGTCTTTAAGGTGCTACTGGAAGGAATTTTTTGTTTTGACTATGGCAGACCAACACGGCTACCTATCTGTAAGTAAAATTCATGTTAAATTGCTGATTTAGGGGTCGTTTTTAAAAGTCTGGAACAGATTAATCCATTTTGCGTTACTTTCTATGGGAAAGTGTGCCTTGGTTTAAGAACGCTTTGGTTTAAGAACGGACTTCCGGAATGGATTAAGTTCATAAACCAAGGTACCACTGTACATTAAAACATATAAGAAGTTAGCAGATTAAAATTCACACCAGCATTTCTAAGCATCTGGGTAGGTTTGTCTAAACCAGAACGTTTTGGCAGCTAGCGTGCAGAAGGTCCTTTTTCTTCATCCTCCTCCTTCATAGAAGAAGTGTTGCAGTTGGCTTGTCTTTCTCCTCCGCTCCACCACCAGCAGAGCCAAGATGCTTCACCATCGCCACCTTGATCCTTCCACATGTGGAGCTCCTGTTCTCAAAGCTTTGTGCGCTGTGCTTTCAGGACTATTTGGCGTTCTGATTTCCTCTTAACTTCATTCTAGATACAGGCGAATAGTTCTTCCATTCTCCACTCAAGTACAGCTGTGTTAGGTTGGCTTGTGTCAAACCTTATAAGATTCACGGTTAATTCCTTCCTGCCACTCCTCCAGGAGTACTTGACAAACTGCAGCAAAGGATTAAGAAGGCAAGTCCCTTTTTAAAAAGAAGTTTAGAAATCTTGCTAAAGGTGTTATCCCCTCCTCCAAGAAGAAATTGGCCTGTCATGTTTAGAGGGAAATTCTCAGTGCACAGAAGACAAAAAGTCACTTGCTTTTGGGGGGGGGGGTGATAGAAAGGTGTATACAAAGAACATAAGAAGAGTTTGCTGGATCAGACCAATGGCCCCTGTAGTCCAGCCTCCTGTTCTCCCAGGGGCCAGCCAGATGCCTGTGGAAAACTCACAAGCAAGACCTGAACACAAGATCCCTTTTCCCTCTATGGTTTCCAACAGCTGGTATTCAGAAGAATGCCTGACTCTGGCTGTTCATGACCAGGAGCCATTGACAGCCTATTTAAAGTCTTGTGGTGCAAACATTGCCTCCCCCCGCCATGAAATAATTTAAAAGTAGATGAAATTGGTTTTTTTTAATATATATTTTTATTAGTTTTCCAATATAAAACTATACAAAACAAAACATCCAATTTATCACTAACATCTTTTTTTTTTTACTTCCATCAACATGTCTGATAATTCTCCGTCTTAATCACTTCTTGCACATTTCTTAATTTAATATTGCACTACAATAATATCTTAATTTACCTTATTTTTTAAACAATATTCCTACCATATATTCTCACAGAGCTTCCTGAAAGCTTACAAACGTTATCTGGTCATCACATATACTTTTCATATAATCTGTAAATTTAATCCAGTCTTCAGTGAATCTCTGGCCTTGTCGGTTCCGGATCCTTCCTGTTAATTTATCAAGTTCTGCGTATTCCATTAATTTCATTCTCCATTCTTCAATCGTAGGTAATTCTTCTTGGTTCCAAAAAGTAGATGTATTTGTTGTGTCCTTTCCACAAGGGCAGCGTTTACAGTTAATCCGAATTTGATTTGCGTTTTTTTAGATATCTTCTCTCAGATGTCGGATTCCAACGGCCTGATGATATTTTCAAAGTTTGACCAGTTTCTGAGGGAGGTTCTCAAACTTCCCACAGCTGTGTTTGAAGGGCCTTCCTTTGGGTACACGGAAAACTCTGTGCGGACGTGTTTCTCCCAGCAGGTAAACTTTTTGAAAGGGGAAGGTTTGGAGGAGATCCTGTGCTAAAGGCTTTCTGTGCTGCTGTTGCTTCTTCCAAAGGAGCCTCCAAGCTGGAGTCCAGTAGAAGAGACAATACAGCTGCAGTTCCCCTGGGAACTCCGCCTGGTTCTGGGATCAGTTTAAGCTACCTGATTAAATCAACATGGAGCACAAGTGTAAGACACTTAGAAAATAATAAAAATTGCACACACGCATTTGGTCTACAGCTGCGGGTAACCAAAGCAGGTCAGCTCTGTGAGAAGGTGCTCAGATGGATGGCGGCTAACAGATTGAGGTTGATTCCTGACAAGACAGAAGTACTGTTTTGGGGGGACAGGAGGCGGGCAGGTGTGGAGGACTCCCTAGTCCTGAATGGGGTCACTGTGCCCCTGAAGGACCAGGTGCGCAGCCTGGGAGTCATTCGGGACTCACAGCTGTCCATGGAGGCGCAGGTCAATTCTGTGTCCAGGGCAGCTGTCTACCAGCTCCATCTAGTACATAGGCTGAGACCCTTCCTGCCCGCGGACTGTCTGGCCAGAGTGGTGCATGCTCTGGTTATCTCCCGCTTTGACTTCTGCAATGCACTCTCTGTGGGGCTACCTTTGAAGGTGACCCAGAAACTACAATTAATCCAGAATGCGGCAGCTAGACTGGTGACTGGGAGCGGCCGCCGAGACCATATAACACTGGTTTTGAAAGACCTACATTGGCTCCCAGTACGTTTCCGAGCACAATTCAAAGTGTTGGTGCTGACCTTTAAAGCCCTAAACGGCCTCGGTCCTGTATACCTGAAGGAGCGTCTCCACCCCCATCATTCTGCCTGGACACTGAGGTCCAGCGCTGAGGGTCTTCTGGCAGTTCCCTCTCTGCAAGATGCCAAGTTACAGGGAACCAAGCAGAGGGCCTTCTCGGTGGTGGCACCCGCCCTGTGGAACGCCCTCCCACCAGATGTCAAAGAGAAAAATAACTACCAGACTTTTAGAAGACATCTGAAGGCAGGCCTGTTTAGGGAAGCTTTTAATGTTTGATGCATTACTGTATTTTAATATTTTGTTGGAAGCCGCCCAGAGTGGCTGGGGAAAATTAATTATTATTATTATTATTATTACTATTTCTCCTGATCAATGGGAGCTAATGGTAAACCTTGGCTGGGGGGTGGGGGAGATTCCAGGCAGACGGTGGCTTTTAACTGGAGATCTGACGATGACCTGGAAGGGGCATTGACCTTGAAGGAGCTGTCCCAGTATTCTGCACCCTGCACCCATTTCAAGCTAAAACCGCTACTGGAAGGAGAAGGTGAAAGGACTTGGAGACTCTCCCTGCAGCTCTTTATCTGAGATGCAGGGAGCACTCCTGAAAGGGCAGCTGAGTGAGGGAGCTTCCAAAGAGACAGGGAACCCAGGGCAGGAGCCTGGAAGAACACGGCATGTGGGGGAATCAGGAGGCACCCTGTGCCATCGCAACTGATACCAAGCTCTTCCCATAGAGGGGAGCTGTGAGTTGTCCACAGAAGAGTCACTCCACCCACTGTCCCACAGGATGCAAAGGGGGCTCTCCCTCTGGAGGAGGGGGCGGGTTGTGTGGTGCAAAGGGATCACAGGCAGCTTCCTTCCTTCCCGGGGTCCACGTCCAAGGTGTGAGGAGGAAGTTGTCACAGCCGCTCAAGCCCACAAACTGCATCGCCTGTTCCTTCCGACTGATCCTGGTGGGAATGGGTGACGCAGCCTGAGGAAGCCTCATATGGATCCCTGTGAGGCTCCAGAGAGGAAAGTGCCCAGTTGAAGACAAAGGGGTGTCCTCTGGGTTCTGCTGAAGTTAGTTGCATTTCAGCCCCAGTGAAATAAATGGGGCAGAAGCCTTGACAGGCTAAGGCTGCTAGTCTAAGCATGCCTACTTAGAAGATCTATCAGTCGATCTAATGTCCCACACCTTCTCCAGTGGAGCCCAGAGCGGCCCAAGTTTACTCATGGGTAAGTGGAGTCAGGGTTGAAGCCTAGCTCTGGCTCCAGCCCTGCGTTACTTCTGTTCCTGCTGCTACACCCGACTGTGGTTCTTCTGCTAAAGATTGCAAAGTCTTGTGGGACCTTGAAGACCAATAGATGCAACGTAGGACATTTTCCTGTCCTTCGGCAGCAGCATAACACAGCCACCACTCTGGAAATGGCTTTGTGAGAATCTTTCATAAGCTGTTTTATGAGAGAGTCTGGGGTCTGTAAAGTCGGGAGATAAATATTCTAAATAAAATACTAAATAGTGAGAGAGATTTGAGCATGTGTTTAACTGCACAGTTGAAATCAGCTTTTAAGACAGCCTCAATTCTGGCAGTGCTTTGCGTTTGGAGGATGAAACTTCACTGGTCTTTTCTGAAACAGACTGCAGTTGGCTTTTCTCTCACTTTGACCTCTCTCCACAGAAAAAGGTCATGCTAAACATGTTTTTAGACACGTTAATGGCTGACCCGCCGCCCCAGTGCCTTGTGTGGCTACCTCTCCTGCACAGACTTGCCCACGTTGAAAATGGTAAGTGGATCACTGTTTGCAGGACTTTCCTTCTGCTGAGGAGCACTGCAGCCCGGGGGCTCACTATGGCAAGCGTGGGATAGTAGTAGTAGTAATAATAATAATAATAATAATAATAATAATAATAATACATTTATACATTTTATTTATACCCCGCCCTCCCCAGCCAGAGCCGGGCTCAGGGCAGTTAACACCAGTAAAATTACAGTAAAAACATAATGGGGGCGGGGGGAAACCTATTTAAAATACAGGTTAAAATGCAATTTAAAATGCAGCCTCATTTTAAAAGTAGCCCATAGATCAAAAGCATAAGGGGAGGGAAAACATAAGGGTCAGACTGAGTCCAGACCAAAAGCCAGGCGGAACAGCTCCGTCTTGCAGCCCCTGCGGAAAGATGTCAAGTCCCACAGGGCCCTGGTCTCTTGTGACAGAGCGTTCCACCATGTCGGGGCCAGTACTGAAAAGGCCCTGGCCCTAGTTGAGACCAATCTAGCCACCTTGTGACTTGGGACCTCCAAAATGTTGCCATTTGTGGACCTTAAGGTCCTCCGCGGGGCAGACCAGGAGTGGCGGTCCCATTGGGATGTGGGGACCTGTGTCTTCTGTGCCGGAGAGCTCAATTTCTTGAGGCTCCCCTCTTATATGTCATCAGGTGCCCCTCCACATCAGAACCTAAGAGGAGCCCTGCAGGGCCAGACCCAAGGCCTCTCTGCTCCACAACCCGGGTCTCCCAGGTCCTAGTCCAACGCTAACCACTATACCACACTGCCTCTTGGTGTGCCTCAGGCTTCCCCTAGGCATCTGGTTGGCCACAGAGAGAACTGGATACTGGACTAGATAGGATTGGCAGGGCCAGATTTAGGTTTGATGAGGCCCTAAACTACTGAAAGTAATGGGGCCCTTTCTATGTCCAGCTATCCTTTGTCAACAACAAATTTTCGCTGTTTTTTGTGTTGACTATATGCTATATGGTCATTTATGGACCTAATAGGTATCTAAATCCATCTGCACATAACAAAATAGGAGCCTACACAACACAAAACCCTCTTGCTGTATGTAGGTTTTATTTTATTTGTTTTTTTATCTTATATTTTGGAAATATAAGATATTTTCCTTTAAAAAAATGTGGGGCCCCAAGAGAGTGGGGCCCTAAGCTAGACCTTGTTTAGCTTATACGTAAATCCGGCACTGGACGCTGGCCTAATCCAGCAGGCTCTTCATACCTGCCACATATCCACACAAATTGCCGCCTGTCCCAACTGTCTTCCAAGTTACAGCCTCTTTATAGCTTTGCCATCTCTGCTCAGCCCCACCCTGACATCTATTTCTTGGTGCAACGGAGTGTCAGGAGGGGATTTTAGAATCAGGAACTATCTAGAGAGGTCCTGGAGGAAAGATCTAGCTGCTGCTGCTGCTGTTGCATTTCTCACCCAGACTTCACCCAAAGGTCCCACAAAATTACAATAATAAAATTAGTTTTAAAAATCATTTAAAATGGGAAGAATAGGCTGGGTCCAGAAGTGCCAAGCTGCCCCCAAGATTGAGGGGCCCCGGTGCACAGCGTGTGTGCATGATGGAGAAGGCTGAGCACTCTGGAGTAGCTGGACACTGGACCTGCGCCACAGAATGCATGGCGCATGCAGGGCTGCCCCAACATGCAGCGGCGCTGTACCCCTTAAACCCAATACTAAGGGGGTCGAGGTACCTTCAGCCCCCTAGTTTAGGAGTGCCTGGGCAGATCCTAATATTTTCTTCGGTTTCTGAGATGCCAGTGACTGTTTACCAGGCTGGCAGGCAGCCACGCACCCCAATTAGCACACGCCTGTTTGACGTGTGGGGAATTCTAGGAGTTTGTCCTTTTGCGGAGGGGCGTGTGGGGTGTGCCTCGTTCAGGACGAAGCCTCCTGCTGCTCCGGAGGCGCTTCTGACTCCTCTTCCTCCTCTCTCCCCTCCCAGTCTTCCATCCTGTGGAGTGTTCTTACTGCCGCTGTGAGAGCATGATGGGCTTCCGCTACCGGTGCCAGCAGTGCCACAACTACCAGCTCTGTCAAAACTGCTTTTGGCGCGGCCACGCAAGCGGCCCTCACAGCAACCAGCATCAGATGAAGGAGCACTCCTCTTGGGTAAGCCTCTTGCTCTCCTGCGGCTCAGGCGCATTGCTTTTCTGCCATGGGCGTGTTTGGGGCTGCGGGTTCTCTATTGCTCAGCACCAGAGGTCTGTCCATCATGGGAAGGCCAGTAGCTTGTCAGTCCTGCAGGGACCAGTGTGGAATGGCCACAGGTCCTCTTCTAAGGACACCTGCGTGGTCTGTTTTTGACACCACTGATCCTACCTGCATTTCTGAAGATCGTTCTGTTGTCATCAAAGCTCACCTTTATTTGTCCAGCTGACCTGGGAGCCCAGCATGTTCTCTATATCAGCACAGAGCCTGTTAGCCACTCAGGGGCCTCTTGCAGGAGCCCAGCAAGTTTCTCTTGGGTCGGGGAGGGTAAGCTCCTGAATCCCAGAGAGAGAGAGAGATGGAGGGGGGGAGGGGATCTTGAGAACAGGATTCTTTGGCTTGGCTTTGGAAGAAACAGCAAAGTAGGAAACGCAGCAGGCAGGGTTGGGGAGAGAATGTGCTTGAATGGTCTTTGGTGCAAAACCACTTCTGGTGCTCCATAATGGAGACCTTGGGCTGCACTGCTGCTGCTGCCAGGGTTATATTTGCTTGCTATACAGACAGAGGCTCTGTTTCTGAAACTTGATGCCTTTTAAAATGGAAAATAAGTGTTTTGGGCTAGGAATTCTTTCCTAATTTCAAGGAGCCTATTCTGGATTCATAGCCATTGACAGGCATCTCTCTCTCTCTCTCTCTCTCTCTCTCTCAATCTTTAATGGATATAGGAAAGTGTTAGAATAAGGTGCTTTTTTATGGGGATTAAAAATGCTGTCTGCTGATTCAGGAGAGAGGCTGCTATTTCTCAAAGACAATTCTCCACTTAAGCAAGGACTTCGGGGTGGCGCTGTGGTCTAAACCACTGAGCCTCTTGAGCTTGCCGATCAGAAGGTCGGTGGTTTGAATCCTCATCCCAGGTGAGCTCCCGTTGCTCTGTCCCAGCTCCTGCCAACCTAGCAGTTCGAAAGCACACCAGCACAAGTAGACAAATAGATACCGCTGCGGCAGGAAGGTAAATGGCATTTTCGTGTGCTCTGGTTTCCGTCACGGTGTCCTGTTGCGCCAGAAGTGGTTTAGTCCTGCTGGCCACATGACCCGGAAAGCTGTCTGTGGACAAACGCCGGCTCGCTCAGCCTGAAAGCGAGATGAGTGCTACAACCCCATAGTCACCTTTGACTGGACTTAACTGTCCAGGGGTCCTTTACCTTTACCTCAGGGGTTTGTTAGCAACCTGATTATTTTCTGACCTTTGTAGATCAGTAAAAGTCATTCTGACTCTCTGAAGTCCTCCACTCTTGCTCACTTCCTGGGTACTGGAAGGATAGGGGGCTGCAGCTGAACCTTAAAAGCTTGACATGACTGTCTATTAAGTGGAACTTGCTTTGTGAGATGCATGAGACGGGCTGGAAATGAAATGGGTATTTATTGGTGCTGGAGGAGACTCTTGGACTGCAAGGAGATCCAACCTCTCCATTCTGAAGGAAATCAGCCCTGAGTGCTCACTGGAAGGACAGATCCTGAAGCTGAGGCTCCAAGACTTTGGCCACCTCATGAGAAGAGAAGACTCCCTGGAGAAGACACTGATGTTGGGGAAGATGGAGGGCGCAAGGAGAAGGGGACGACGGAGGACGAGATGGTGGGACAGTGTTCTCGAAGCTACCAGCATGAGTCTGACCAAACTGCGGGAGGCAGTGGAAGACAGGAGGGCCTGGCGTGCTCTGGTCCAGGGGGTCACGAAGAGGCGGACACGACTAAACGACTAAACAACAACAACATGCGAACATTCACAGAGTGAAGTGCGGTGGAGAGAAAAGGCCTGATGTGAGATTTAACAGATAATATAACTCCAAGGATGCACCCTTGGAGGAAAAATACAGCCAGCATTTCCGGGAGCATCAAAGCATGAATAGGGGAAGTGTTGTATTTAAAAAGCTAAGTGTTAAATCCAGGTGTGTGGGAGAGAGAGAGCCCCTTTGCAGCATGTGGCTGTTCAGCTGAGCTCCTGTCTTTGAGCCAGAAAGAAGCAAACCAGGAGTTTCTGATTGTGCCAGAGATGGTAGTGGAGAACCTCCACTTCTCTTTCCCCCTGAAATGAATTTGGGGGTAATTATCCCACAATAGCACCAACTGACAAATGTATCATTTGTTACAGTTTGAAATTTGAACATTACAACTCTCCAGTCAAGCGAAATACTAAATTCTAAAATGCTAAATACTAAAACGAAAAAGCAGACAAACAGATCCCTCTGTTTTGCATCAAGTCAGCGTATTGCACCTGACTCAGCACTCGGGAGAGGCTGGATGTGTGCGCATGTGCGTACGCTCACGCATGCACACTCAGGATGCTGCAGTGAGGGCAAGAGATCAGGGAATTCCCCTTGATGAGTGTCTTTCCGCTGACACAACTCTGCATGCAAACCAGTATGTATCAGTTACGGTTAGCCGAGCATAAAATGGGTTTAATGCGCAGTACCTGGATTGAGACTCTCCATCATGCACGGCCCAAAGGAAGATGCCATCATAATTTCTGTGGGTGTGATGGGAATCCACAATCTCTCTCTCCTCGGTTCACCTAAGACAGCACCTGAAGAAGACATGCCCAGTTTTGTGGCACCATGCTTCACAACAGATGCTGGCAGTTTTGCGAGAGCTCGGCTTTCTAAAGAGAGAAGCACAGCTGGAAAAGGGCTATATTTGGAAAATGTTCAACAGTTGAGGAAACAAAAGGTTAAGGACCCCTGACAGTTAAGTCCAGTCGCAAATGACTCTGGGGTTGCGGCGCTCATCTCGCTTTACTGGCCGAGGGAGCCAACGTTTGTCTGCAGAGTTTTTCTCGGTCATGTGGCCAGCATGACTAAGCCGCTTCTGGTGAAACCAGAGCAGTGCACAGAAACACCGTTTACTTTCCCGCCGGAGCGGTACCTATTTATCTACTTGCACTCTGATGTGCTTTCGAACTGCTAGGTTGGCAGAAGCTGGGACCGAACAACGGGAGCTCACCCCGTCGCGGGGATTCGAACCGCCGACCTTCCGATCGGCAAGGGTGTGAGAATGAAATACTGAACTGGCACCAAGCAGGTTTCCTTAGGGAGGGTAGAAGTTGCAACCTTGAGGTGCAGCCACAGAGATGCACCCCACTCTGGCGTGAGCATTAAATGCCCGTTTGCAGATAGTAAACTCAGTCCTTTACAGCAGAATGCATCAATTAAGTAATTAAAGGCATTCTGCAACATGCAGAACAATGTGAGAATGAGACATTACAGTACTGACATCTGGTAGCGCCTGCAGAAAAGGGTCTCTGGAGGAACGTCTGTGGCAAGCATCTCAGCCAAAGGACATCTTGCTAACCCAGAACCTCTTCCAAATTAATTGAGAGTCGGTCTGCATATACTTCTCTCCTATGTCAATATAAAGCATCTTCCTCACTGTATTGCACTCTTGGAAATGGTGTTCCTAAATTTTTTAGGAAGATGTGAAGTTTCTCCAGCAGAGGGCAGGATCTGCTCATGTTCTCGTGCCAGAAATCCCGTCTTCACCTTGGGGTGGAATTTTTCACTTGTTAAGGCAGAAAGCAAAGCAACCGGGATGTGTTTAGTGACCTCCTCCATTCTCTCACCAGCTTCTCTACACAGATTATTTTTTAACCTTGGCTACAGCCTGTTTCTTTGACAGAGCAGAGCAAGGGGCTCTCAGCGCAAATGCACAGAGGACAAGCAAGCAAAAGCACTTTTTATGGGTCACGGGCCTCTCCTTTATTTATTTCACCAGAGTTTATTAAATGAGCTTTAGAATATAGCGTACAACTGCCCCCCCCCAATAATATATGCTCTAGGCTCATAAAGTGACTTAGTTGAATTCAACCCTATCATTATCATCTGCCTCTATTGCTAACCATATTATTTTTTATTCAGTTTATATCCTGCCCTTCCTCCCTAAGGCAGCCCTGGGTAGCAAACGCACAAATGGTAAAACATCTTAAAAACAATTCCAGTGCAGATATAGACTAGGATAAAGATCTTCATTTTAAAGTATTTCTTTACATGCATGACATTATATATTTATGTCTTGCTTTCCCTCCATTTTACCTACGTAACAGTTCTGTGAAGTAGGCTAAGCTAAGCTAATATATGAATACTACACCCATATGCACATAAGCAGCAGTTCTTGTTAGGATATAGTTCCGTTCCACCTTAAAAGGAGCAGGCATGACTGTTGGGTGTCACGTGCCTGTTTACTTCCAGCGCTTGCTGGGAACTTCTGTTTGTATATAGCTTTTGCTTTCCTGCTGTTTTGCTGGACACGAAGGGAAGCAGACATGTTTTTTCTTTGTTCCTACTGCTGAATAAAATGCTGTAACATACTGCTTACACATTTCTCTGCCCACCTCTTCTGCTCTGAAAAGATTTATTCACTCTGCTGATAGAGTGTGCACGGGTCTCTAAACGTATCTGAGGCTCGTGTCGCCGATTGTTGCTGTTCCAAGGGAGACCGGCGATCATCTGGCTGCCAGCCAGTGGCTGGAGCCAGCTGGGGGCCTGCCTGATGCCCCCGTCTCCCTGGCAGTATCCCAACAGTTCTTGCCAATAGACTGGGTGGTGGGAGAGAGCCCCCCAACCCACATGCTGCATGCCGGGGCTCCCTGCCTGTTGTTTCAGAGAGAGAGAGAGCTGCCTAGAGAACAAGCAAGCAGCTGGCCAGTGCCCCCAGAACCCCCCACCTGCAGGGCCTCTGTTTTCTCAGGTGCAAGCTGTTTAGTATCCCTCCTCTGTTCTGCAGTGAAACATGCAGTGTTCTCAGCCTGCCCTGACTGATGTTGTGGAGAAAGAGAGCCGGTTAGGATCAGAGCATGGGTGACATTTGCCCCCAAACTCCTGTTCGCTGCCTCTTGACAGCAGTCCCGGTAAAGATTCAGCCTGGGAAGTATCTTGACTCCAAAGGCTTGTTGGGAGAGGAAGAGCTTCAGGAGGTGCAGATGAGGCAGCAGGCTGTGTCTGCCCAGCATTCAAGGGGGAAGGAATTCCAGAGGGCAGGAGCCACAACACTAAAAGCCCATAATGTATTTTTAATCTTTTGTTGGAAGCCGCCCAGAGTGGCTGGGGAAACCCAGCCAAATAGGCAGGGTATAAATATATTATTATTATTATTATTATTATTATTATTATTATTATTATTATATCACACACAACAATCACCTTGAAGAAAAACAGCTCCTGCCTCCACCATCAGCTCTGCCCTTCTAAAGTGTGGTGAACTGCTTTTGAAACGTAGATTCCTGCACTGCAGAGGGTTGGACTAGATGACTCTTGGGGTCCCTTCCAACTCCACAATTCTGTATGTGCTAAAAGAAAAGCCTGTGATTGTTCGCCAGCTGAAAGTATGTATCTGCAGTTCCCCATGGTCTTTTAAGACTATAATTTAGGAGATATTAGGTAATGTAAAACTGAGAGAATCCAAATAAGATTTGCAACATTTTGGACACCGTGCCATTATTTATTTTTAAAAAACAAAAAGCAGACATATGCCGGGAAGTGCAGTTTTGGCATAATGGTTAGCGCCGAAGCTTTCAGTAGTTCTTTGCTCCTGAACATGAAATGACACACTTTATCCTGCTAATAGTGCAGAATCATAAGAGCGTGATCATATAATAATAAAACAAAGAATAACGAAGACTTAAAACCAAGGCAAATACAACATTTAAATTACTGAGCATCAAAGAAAGGAAAAGAAGGCTTAAGAAATGAAACGGTCCCGTTAGCTGACTTCAACTTGCTCTGCTCCAGAAACCTCCTAGCTGAACAAGCAGCAAGAACATCCAGCACGCATAGCTAGTAAGATTATCCTCTCAAAACCTTGCTTTTTGAAAAAATCAAAACTGCTTTTGCTGGCGGAAGCACTGATTCTTTCACAGAATAATGCCAGCAGTGCAGGTTAGCATGTTACTGGAGCCCTCAAGAAGCGTTGCTTTGTCCCAGATCCTCGGCACGTGCTGTGCTGCCATCGTCTCCAAAGAGGTTTTTCTAGCAAGGTCAGTTGCACCTAAGAAATCCATGTGGGAAAACGAACGCTTGACTTTCGCCTTTGTAAAGAGAAACCAGTGCATCAAAATAACATACAGTGGTGCCCCACAAGACAAATGCCTCGCAAGACGAAAAACCCGCTAGACGAAAGGGTTTTCCGTTTTTCGATGCGCTTCGCAGGACGAATTTCCCTATGGGCTTGCTTCGCAAGATGAAAATGTCTTGCGAGTCTTGAGATTTTTTTCGCTACCCCCCCCTTTTCTAAGCCGCTAAGCCGCTAATAGCCTTTTAGCCGCTAAGCCTTTAATAGCCTCTAAACCGCTAATAGCGCTAATCCGCTAAGCCGCTAATAGGGTTGCTTCGCAAGACGAAAAAACCGCTAGACAAAGAGACTCGCGGAACGGATTAATTTCGTCTTGCGAGGCACCACTGTATGTGTATTTTCTTGCCCAGGTTCTCTGGGTATAGAAGCTTGAGCTGCTGGTTACCCAGACGTCTTTCTGGTTGGTCCCAGTGACTGGGAGAGGGGTGGGTGGGTGCCTGCGCTTTTTTGGCACCCGCTTTCCTGGTTCCACATTTCTTTGGCAGATACAGATAGGTAGCCGTGTTGGTCTGCCATAGTCAAAACAAAAAAAATTCCTTCCAGTAGCACCTTAAAGACCAACTAAGTTAGTTCTTGGTATGAGCTTTCGTGTGCATGCGCACTTCTTCAGATACCAGCTCATAGGAATGAGGGGGGAAAAGGAATTTTTTTGTTATTTCTTTGGCAGTTTTCTTATTCCTTATATATACTACTTGCTGGTTGCTGACAGCCAAATTAATTATCACCCTGGCTTTCATATCTCCTTTAGTCACAGGGTCAGGGGGATCATCAGTCACATAGGTCCATACTTCTTGAGAGGTCAAAAGCGCCTCCACCCGAAGCGACCATGAACTGCAGTTTTCATCTGTCAGCTGTAGGAACGTCAGAGCTTTCTCGGCTTCTGGAACCCGGTCGACCATTCTGGAACTCTTCCAGACCCACAGAACCACACCTACAGGAGAAGGAGTTTTCAAACCTTTCTCAAAGTCCAAAAATGTGCAGTCATCCACTCAGCAGCTGGGCCCATAACCAAAGATGTTGGCTATTTGCAGATTAGTTGCTCTGCAGAAGGCATGCTGGGGAGACCACACATTCAAGAAACGCAAAAGTAACTTTTGCTTGGTTTAATAACAAATATCAAAAACAAAAACTCCTTTTACACTAAATTACATTATATATAAAGGGACGCGGGTGGCGCTGTGGGTTAAACCACAGCGCCTAGGACTTGCCGATCAGGAGGTTGGCAGTTCAAATCCCCGCGACAGGGTGAGCTCCCATTGCACGGTCCCTGCTCCTGCCAACCTAGCAGTTTGAAAGCATGTCAAAGTGCAAGTAGATAAATAGGTACCGCTCCGGCGGGAAGGTAAACGGTGTTTCCATGCGCTGCTCTGGTTGGCCAGAAGCGGCTTAGTCCTGCTGGCCACATGACCCGGAAGCTGTACGCCGGCTCCCTTGGCCAATAAAGCGAGATGAGCACCGCAACCCCAGAGTTGGCCACAACTGGACCTAATGGTCAGGGGTCCCTTTACCCTTTACCTTATATCAATAAGTGTAACCCATCCACCAAGGTACGGAGAGAGCTACATGCTGCTCTTTATATTCTTTACCCAACAGCTTAATTAACATAACTTAACAGCACCTGCTATACTGCTTCACAGCTGTAAAACTAAGTCATGTTATTTCTTCTGGCCCTTAAAGACGTACACATCTTGTGAAACAATAATAAAACCTAAAATTTAAAGAAACCATTCAACAGGAACACCTGTGGGGGCCCCTTCTGTGGTGGCAAAGAGGGAGCTCTTATCTGGGGTTGAGGCCTCCTGGCATTACAGACCAGGTGTTTGGCCCAGCCCAGCCACCACCGATCCATGATGGACCTTCGCCTCCCTAGCCTTATTGCCTCTAATAAAGAGAAGGTTCCTGGCTGGGTCCAGGAGTCTGCAAATTCCTCCTTGTTAGAGGGCCTGATGCCAACAGCCTCAAAGTGTGAACCAGTTTATATTAAAAAGCTCCAATCCAATAGGTCTCTCCAGATGTTTCCATGGGTCTGGGGAGGTTGTCTCAATTGATTGTTGCTTCTCACATGCGAAGGGATCTTTTTAGCGCTTTTAGGGCTTCTGCCTCCCCTCAGCACTTGGCTCCAGCTCCCTCCCTCCCATCCACCTAGTCCTTGTCAAGGACACATCCTCTTAAAACCTTTGAGTATGGCAACGGAACAAGCACCTTGCGACAAGGTCACACCTGCAGGCCCTGCTCATCTTTCCAACCACAAGGTTAGGAAAATTGCAGTAGAGATTGCGTAAGTGCCTCTCGTGCAGTTAGACCACAAGCTGGTGCCTGCAATCCATGCCAGGGAAGGGCTTGTGGGCTTCTCTGACTGTGGTTAGAAAAACCAGTGACAAGAAGACGCTGGTTTCTCTGATGCGAAATTGAGACCCCCTCTTTTGATTCTGGCACACTCTGCTGCGCATTGCAGGGGGTAAGACTAGATGGCCCTTGGGGTCCCTTCCAACTCTACAGTTCCATGATCCTATGAGTGAAAAGTAAGCTGTCATCTTGTCCCTACAAGGCCTTGATGCCCTGGAGACAAGGCAGTTGCAACAAGCCTATGGACTCTTGCACCATGCATAATATTAAACCCAGCAGTGATGATCTATTAAATTTATATACTGCCCTTCGTCCAAAGATTGCAGAGTTGTTTGCAGCATAAAAGCACAAAATGCATAGCATAATAGCAAAACAAAAATACGTCCGCCCCCCGCAGCCAAAGGCCTGGTTGAAGAGGAATGTTTTCACCTGGAGCCTAAAGACATATAAAGATGGCTCCAGAAGACCACAAAGAAGGGCCTCGGATGACCATCACAGGGTCCGGGTCGGTTCACATGGGGAGAGATGGTCCTTGAGGCATTTAAGGCTTTATAGGTCAAAACTGGCCCTTTGGGTTGGGCCCAGAAGCTAATTGGCAGCCAGTGCAATTGGGTTGGGGTTGGGGTGATGGGCAGGGTGGGAGAGATCCTGGCTCCAGGCCCCCTTTGGACCCCAGGCATTGTTTGGCGGCTGCCTGGGGCTTGCGCCTGGAGAGCCCTGCGTCCTGGGAGGCTGGAGCACAGCTCCTCTTCAGCTCTGCGCTGTGCTGCACTGATTGCTTTGCTGTGCTAATTCCCATTTCTGTGTTTAATTCTCTCTCTGAAAAAAAACCAGAAATCGCCTGCCAAGAAGCTGAGCCATGCCATTAGCAAATCTCTTGGTTGTGTACCCAGTCGAGAGCCTCCTCACCCCGTGTACCCGGAGCAGCCAGAGAAGCCCCTTGACCTGGCCCACACAGGGTGAGTATCTCTTCCGTTCTGCGCCAATGTCTCCTCTCGCTCTGCCTCCCTTTGTACGCCTGGCGCCTGGGTTCTGGAAGGGCAGCCAAGACAAACGCAGAGAGGAAGGGTCTCTGGCCGAAAAGGCTATCTGTACGAGGAGCCTTGAGAGTCATTTTGTTGATCCTCTTGGAGCGGATTCTCACTGTCTGGTCCCCGCTGTTGTGCTGTGGATGGAAAGATGCTCAGCTCTGAGACTTCCTTCTGTAGCTTCACAAGCGCTTGCAGAAGATTGGCTGACTGCAGCCTTCCCTGGTGTGTGTTGTCCTCCGGAACAGCAGTAGGATGCCCAGGCTGATGGCAGTTGTGGTCCAGAGTGCCTGTAGGGGGCAGTTTGGAGGAGGCTGTCCTGTCTCTAGAGGCAGAACTGTGGCAGGTAGGTGTGTGTGTGTGTGTGTGTGTGTGTGTGTGTGTGTGTGTGTGTGTCTGTGTTCCAAATGGCTGGTTCTGCGTTTGGCCTTGCTGGCATCTTAGAAGCAGCATGTGGGGACATAACACCAGCATCCAGTTAGTCACTTTTTTAGCAGTTACTGGGTGAGCAGAACCTGGCAGGAATCCTAGAATTGTAGAGTCAGAAGGGACCCCGAGGTTCATCTAGTCCAGCCCCTTGCAATGCAGGAATCTGTAATCCTGCTCTGGTCCGATTGCCAGACGATTATGTCGTTGAATGTTATTGAACTTGTGCGCTCACCAGATTTAATCCAGAAAGTGACATCACAGGTGTTAAATCGGAAAAGGTCTGTGGGGGCCTCTTGCTACAGGGGCAGTGATGGCCTGGAAGAGAAGTCACGGGTGACCTTGGTTTTCTCAGGGTGGGCTTGGTTGAGGAGGTGGCTCTCTCGTGGTTGTGTGGTATAATGTTCTGCAAACAGATTGGAATGTATACTGAATAAGCAGCCAACATTGTATGACCTCCCTGCAAACATTCTGCAAATTAATCAGGGTGAACGCTCAGGAAAGAGGTCTCAACCTCAGTACCCAATTATAGGCAGATAATTTCATCTCCAAATATTGGGGAGGGGGTGCTACTATCCCCTTATTCTCCTAGTTTTTTCAAGGCACCTCCATCTTTCTTTCTCCCATTCCCCCACCGGGCCTCATTGCCGCTAGCAGAAGGCTGCGCCACCCTGTGCTGTGCTGGGAGGTGTGTGACGTCGCATGACACGTGCATGATGTCTTGGGGGCAACCTGGCACCTGTGCAGCCGGCAGCAGTCCCAGGGTGGAGAGTCGGAAGAGGCAGAATGTGTTGGTTGCATTTTACTATGCCTTGTTCTCATCTGATGTTGGGCACAGTGTGCCATGGAAAGGTTGCTTATAGATAAGCTGGTGATGGCATCTTGCATTCTGTGTCTGTCTCTGCCGCCTCCCTGAGGCGCTCCCCATCCTCTTGCTGCTTGTCTTCGGAGTGGGAAGGGAGTGCGGAAGAGGCAGCCTTTTGCCCAGGTCTCAGTGACTTCCTCTGAGCAATTTTCCAGGAAGCCTGGAGCTGGCAGAGAGGTCAGGCTGTTGGGCGTTTGCACTGGACTGGAAGGGTGTTGGCAGGGGGATATAGTTCTTTGATTTAGGTAGCCCCCCCAAAGGTGTCTGCTTGTTGGAACAGCCCTTTCTAAAATCCAGTTAAGCGCTCCATGGTTTTCAGGGTAGGGTCCTAAGAGACCAGGAGAAAGAGTGTTTGTTTCCTGGAGAATTCCTAGCTTGACACTTATTCCCGGGGGTGTCTTGGCATGCCTGTGTCAAGAGCAACCTCCTTGGCTTTGGTTGTTTTCCTAGGTCTGTTTTAAAGCACACGGACAGAGTCCCTTTACCAGCCAGATGGATGGGGTATAAATAAATCTATTATTTATTGTTGTTGTTGTTGTTGTTTATTACTACTACTACTATACCACCTTCCCATATTGGCAGGGGCGGCAGATAGGTGGAGTTCCTGTAGCAAACATAAGCAATCTCTTGCTCCCTGTTGCCCGTCTGGTCCTTCTCCCCCCACTGCCCCCCCCGAATACATTTTGCCACTGCCCATGTGACCCTGGCAACACAGAACTCCTACCAAAATACTGCTGAAGCTCAGCCCTTGTATTCAAGCAACCTGCATGCTTTATAAATGAACAGTTTTGCGTAAATCGAGCATCGTATTAGAGGGTGTATATATATATATATACACGGTGTATATATATATATATATATATATATACACGAAGCCAAGCCAGAGCACAACTAAGGGCAGTACAGCCATCTTCTCAGAAAAACTCTTCACAAAGTTCAAGAGGTCAAGACACGAAGGCTTTAGCAACTAATCCACACCTAATGACCCACCTAAGTGGTACTCAGGATATCACTCAAGAAATCACTCAAGATATCCCTCAAGTAATTAAGGAACAAAAGAAGAAAAGGCACACTAGCCTGGGAACTTCCTCTCTGCCCAGAACATTGGAGGCTATACACCACACCCCCTCAACAGTATTTATAGGAACTCAAACACTGAGATCCTGCTCTGTTCCAGTAACAAGAAGCCGAAAGCACCAGCCTGAAGATGACGAGTGAGACCTCATCGAAACGTCGCCTAGACACCCCAACTTTTACACGGGAAGACACCCGAGGACACCAAAACCTGCATTCCTGTACCCGTGAAAATCTACGAAAGCAAATATATATATATATATATATATATATATATATATATATATATATATATATATATATAGAAGCTGCAACCTTAACCTAAACATTAGGATGTAGAAGTTAGCAAATGAACAGAAATTAGGTTTGGTCTTTCCTGGTAATTCTGATTTGCTAATGGAACAGATGAATCTGTGCCAGCGAGACCACGTGGCAGCCTTAATCGCTGCCTTTCCCCTAAGTCGTTTCACTTTTGAAAATTTGGAAGGGCGGATTTGGAACGGTGGGGTTGCTGTTTGCTGCCCCACTGCCTGTTGGGCAGGTTTAGCAGGTTTGTTTATTTATCACCTTCCACACATGTCTCAATGTACAAAATGCAACAAGAAAATAAAAACAGGAAACAAAAGCCGATGAATTTTGAAAGCAATGCAAAGCAGGCACCTAGTGCAAATCCTGGAAAGCAAGGAGTGAGGTGCTGGGGGCATTCTGCCCCCCAAAGCAAGCATTTTGCCCCAGCTGCAGCCTCAAGGGGAGCCCCACATAGAGCGCATTACAGTAATCCAACGCTGAGGTTACCAAGCTATCCTGGCCAGCTATTCATTCCTGCGTATTTGGTAGAACAGAGGCAATGCCTCTGGACCCAAGACCACCGTGAAACCTGTGTGTGTTTGCATGGAAGCAGATCTCGCGGAGTTTAATGGGCCTTGCTCCCAGGAAAGTCTGTAGAAATCTCTGCAGTCTCAGTGGGACCACAGGCCGTTTGGGGCTGGCCCCAGGTGAGAGAGGTGTTTCCGGTGGGCGGCCACGGATGCATTTCAGAAGAAAGAAAATTGTTTTGCAATTAAACTCGCTACTCAAATTGCACCGTGTAATTTCTTCCCCTGGATTGCTGCTTACCATAAAGCTTCAAGCATTAATTCTGGGAGGAAAAGAAAATTAAAAGGAGCGGGCAATTTTGACATTAAAGCAACGCTCCAAATTGTGAGGACTCCCGAGTACGAAGCAGTAATTTGGGAAAGCGATTAGCACACAAACGTTTTCCTTCTGGTGCAGCGTCTTGTTCTGGCTGATGCGTATTAGGCCCCGAATGGATTTGTGTAATGATCGCAAAGCAAATCCAGCCATGACGGATGGCTGCAGGTAAGTTCTCCTCCTCTCTGCCTCACCAGCCAGTTCCTGCCAGGAAGCAAAATGGCATCTCCTTCCACAGCACGGAGGGGAGGCAGGAAGTGGGCAGAGAGAAGCCGGCAAGGAGGGCTGGCGGAGAATCAGACACAGGAGTCTGTAGAGCTGGTCCCTGCCTTGCCTGGCTCCACAGGCACACAGAGGGAACACACCGGTAGCCGAGGCGGCTGCAGAATTATAGATTCTTTCCACCCCACCTTTCGGTCCGTAAGGCACCAAAGGCAGCAGATAAATTCTCACCACCACACAGCCAGTGAAGCATACCAGATGCAGGACATCTTGCAGGATAAAGCTTTTTTTTATTTTTAATAATATTTATTACTTTTACGACAATTTAAACACTACAAGGGGAAAAACAACAAAAAAAACCCCCCAAAAAACAATACAGTACAAAGACAAAACAAGACAAAGCAGAAACAATTTAAAAACACATCGAAAAAAAGAAAAAAAATTCAATATCTTATCTTTCTTTCACATATTTCCACGACCTCCTCACACCTCCCTTTTTGTATTCCACTTCTATTAATTATTTCAGCAATTCCTTTCCATCTTCCCCTATTTTCTATCCTATAATTATTTTAACACATTTTAACCTTATTTTTTCCTTTAATATTCTATTAATCTATTTATACTTAATTCCTTATAACATTTCTACTAAAGCCATATAACTTCATTCCAACATTCTTCTAACATTCATTAATTTTACAATGTTTCTGTAAATAGTCTTTAAACTTTTTCCAGTCTTCTTCCACCGACTCTTCTCCCTGGTCTCGGATTCTGCCAGTCATTTCCGCCAGTTCCATATAGTCCATCAAGTTCATCTGCCATTCTTCCCGGGTGGGTAAATCTCGTGTCTTCCATCTTGCAGGATAAAGCTAAAGAAAAATGCAAAGGTGCCCGGGATAGATTTGCTTGTTCTCAGTCCCCCTTGTTCAGCAGAGGGACGACACTCCTGGTATTGTCTCCTTTTCAGCTTCTCTGCAATCCTCAGAGACGGGTTAGACCAGCTTCCTAGCTGGACGTGACTGTCCCATTTTTGACTGTCCTGTGTTGCAGCCACTGGCTCGCCACTTTTTAAAAGCATTAATGCCAACGCTGACCTTTTGTTTCCCGTCCTCCTAAGAGAAAGCTCAGCATGAAGCTTCATGTTTGTTCTAGAGTT